TTAGAAGAACCATTCCTACTCTCTAACAATGTCATGTCATCACTCCAAGGTTTTCTTTTAATATATATATATATATATATATATATATATATATATATAGATAAGTGTGTGATTAAGTGCTAGTTGGTCATGTCTAGCTTAACTTAGTATCTTTTGGAACAATACCCCCGCCCAAACCCACATATACACATATGGTTAAGGAAGTGGGATTCCATACACAAGCCCCCTGTCGTTCCACTGATTAGGTGCTATATGGTGTGAGTTGATGTTGAGATTATGTAAAGCCTATAAATCAAGGTGAAAATCCCATGGATCAAGGATTACGAGTAGACAGTTGTGGATGGCAATGGGCAAAGTAGGTGGAACCGGAGCATGGGAAGAGATGCCTGGAATAACATTTGAAGCATGTGATGCTTTTTCTCCGCTCATAAGTGATGCCATATTGTTTTGTAGGTTGAGGAGACCAGTGATGATGAGGGACCATTTGGCATTTATATAGAAATAGAGGTTGCATGACTAGTTTAATAAACTCGAAATATCACACATGCAAAACTTGATCCCAATTATTGGGAGGGATATTGGTACGGCAAAGTATGATTTGTCCTTAAAGAAGGTAACATTTGCAGACACATAGCACATAGCGATTTATAGAAGGGGAGAAAAACCAATGATTGTGCTGAATATCAGAGTAACCAAAGAAAATACATTTGATAACTCGCGTAGACAACTTATCACGACCTGAGGATAGATCATGCATGAGATGAGTACAACCAAAGACAACAATATATAAGGGGTCTATAGGATACAAAAGAGTGTTGGGAACTCATCACTTGAAAGCTTTAAGGGTGCTTTAGCACTTGGTAAGAAAGTATGAGATGTATTAACAAAATGTCTATGTTTTCTTTCACCTACCACCATTTTGTTGAGGTGTACAAGGACAACTGGATTGATCTATATGGTTGGATTCCGGTGAGAATGGAAGTTATGGTGAGAAGGGATCTCCACCCTTGGATCAATCTTAATTGAAGATCAACCCTAATGATTTGCACCGGATCAAATTCCTTGAGAAGCGAAATTCATTGGGTGGGGGTGAGATTAAAAGTGACCAAGGGTCCGAATTCCTTCTTGCGCTTCTCACGTTAACTCCTATTCTCACACGATCTTTCGTCTTGATCTATAATGCCATTGGAATGCATAAAATATAATAAAAAACTAGAGAAATATTCTTCTAGATTATCACTATGCAAGAGTGAATTGTTTTGCATGCCAAATTGGGTCATAATTTATGAACATGTGATATTTAAAAATACTAAACAACTCAAATGATCTTTATTAAAAATACCCATGTACATCTTGAGACATCATCGTTGAACGTAACATAATACCGAAACCTACAATAGACGGAACACGACTTAGACCCCAACCATCATAATGAACAATATAAAAGGGTAACTCCTCTTTCATTAATACAATATAAAAAGAGATTCGGTCATGTTTACTTAATTGACAAGCCATACTTAGTAAATATTTTAAGTGCAAGAGACAACATACCTTTTTTTAACTAGGGTGACAGAAATGATAGCGAAGGAGATTAGGGGATTCAGTAGCGGCACATATAGTAGATGTAGCAGGCTGAAGTAGACCATGAGAATTGGAGCTGGTATCAGAACTAGAAAGTGTAAACGAGACCAAACCCTTTGTTTTTGAAGAGGATTGGTCATTGTTGTTGGATTGAATTAAATTCCAAACAAGGATGAGAAATATCATGAAACAATGTGATTTTCATTTTTGTTGGATTGAATTAAATACCATACAAGGATGGGAAATATCATGACACAGTGCGATGAACGTTTGTGGATGGACAATGCAAAGAACAGTTACTCCAAACAATGACGACGAACAATATGGAGGCTGATTTTATGGAAGAGCAAAATGCAGACCAATGTTGCTCGATCAAGTATAGAGCATGTATAGGGTTATGGCTCATGCAACATGCGGACTTTTGTTAGTTTGTGGCCGAAACAGTTACGACAGGAATTACATTCATGTGAACTTGGTTTTGTGGGACCTGTGTCTGATAATCAATCAACTTTGCGTCTCTCCTCCAATCCGGTATTTCACAAGACGACAAATCACATTAAAGTTAACTGCCACATCCTTACAGAAAAGATTCAACTTGCTGATACCTTTACTAAATCCCTATGTTTTCCTTGGATAACTTATATATATGTGACAAGATGGATGTATATGATATATATACTCCACCTTGAGGGAGAGTGTTGAGATTATGTAAATCCCACGGATCAAGGGATTGATTTACTTGAATCGCTGGGATGATTGTTTCCTAAAGTATAGTCCTCGAATGCCAATATATTGTAAGATCTTATGCATAACAAAATCAAGAGAACTATTTTCAGTTTAATAATATGTAGTTCAAAATAGTTGAGAATCCACTTTCATAGGCACTATTAATTGTGATGGATGCCTCAATAATTATCTTTTATATATATATATATATATATATATATATCTGTGTATCAGTATATGTGTGTGTAGTTTATATGATGGTGCACTAGTTGTGAAAATATTAAGTTAGTAATACAGTGAGGCATGGCAAAGGATCTGAATCTAAAAATTCATAAGTATAATGAATTTGAACTACACCATAACAGATATGATTTGTATGGTCTTTTGGAACTTGTACTAAGTAGGCTCTTCTGTTATAAGTATAAGATAATCACCTAAATGATGTATAATATTCATGTGGATTTCATCATTGCAAAACACCAAAAGTGGATCCAAAATTGCTTTTCTGGTAGGGTCAAAGGTTCGTCATACTCCATAAAATCCACATGGTTGGTCAATTATATCTACTTGCTTTCATGGTTCATCCATTTGATGAGAAGTATGTAAGGGAGCAAATAAAGTTTCTCATTATCAATTTGCAGACAATCTGTACTCTTAGCAACTCGTCCAGTGTCACCAGTTGGGATTCGTGTGATATTTAATCTTACGTGGTTTCTAAGCCTTGCCTCTAATCTATTTCAGCTTCCAACATATTCTTTTCGGAACCTAAACGTGTAAAAGTAAAAAGGTTCTAGCAACTCCATTTTGTACTATCTTTATTGTTTCAGCTAGGAGCCATTTACTAATACAAACAGGGTAAGCGCTAACCGAGTAAGGGGCCGTTTACCAAGCTTACTGAGTGTCACCTTATTGAGTGAGCATGGCAAGGATCGAGAATCTTACCCAATAAGGGGCATAACAAGGACTGAGAATCTTACTCGGTAGGTGAGGGAGATGACTCTTACCCGATTAGCGTTGGCAATTCATTTTGATGGCCGAGAATGTTACTTGATAAGGTAAGTGAGGGTGGTGACTCTTGCCAATAAGTGCTTACCCATTAAGCGTTTGGTAAACTTCCCATAAGTGAGGCTCTTGATCCTTAGTGGGACAACATCTCGGTTATTGTGGGTTAGAGGGTGTGGGTGAACATCATTATTCTTACCGGCACAACACCACTTACCCGGTTAAGAAGCGGTAAGTGCTTAGTGGACAGACCCTTAGTTATGGTACATGTTCCAACTGAGTTACTTGGGCATTCAAGGTTAAATGTCCAAGGCTTGCAAGATTGATTATAAAGGTAAAATAAAAAGTTCATCATCACATTGAATAGTTGTAAAAAGGTGACAAACATTCTTCTTTTAATCAACCGTACTAGGTTCACAATGTATGAATCGCTTCAGTTTAACTTTTACTTGGGGAAGGAAGAGACCAGCCTTTTTCTTCATTAACTTGGTTGATGCCTATGCATGCTTGCATTATGCCATTTACAATTGATGTATGCCCTTGACTCCCTACTTTTCATGTGGTTAACAGGAATTCTTTGCCTTTCAGGTAGATGATTTGGATTACATTTGGAAAATGAAAATCGATCCAAGAAAGGTTGTATTTTATGCTTTGAAAGTACCAACATAGTTTGTAGTGATGACGTGTTTTCGCTAACCCATTTATTTCCATCCAGAGGCACTTGATTAATAAATGTATTTGCTTGCCTTTTTAAGTCGGATTGAATAAATTTCTGCACAGAACTTGGACATGTCATACGAAATAAATTGTAGTTTCTAGCTCTCTGTACAATTTCAGATCATAGATGAGTGAGGCTTGGAAATTTAGATATCACTACATGTAGAGATTGATTGTAGTGGTTTTTTTTAATGAAGGTTGCAAAAGTGTTGGTGGAAGCATTTGCTGAAATGATATTTGTCCATGGTTTTGTGCATGGAGATCCACATCCTGGTAATATACTGGTTGCCTTGGATGAAAGAGAAGGATTTTGTTTAGGTAATGGTTTTAATTAGTTATTATCGAGTTGAGGGAGAAATGGGAGTTTCCTGATGTATAACATATATATATACATATATTTATTATGAATGAAGTTGTTCTGGATCATGGGATCTACAGAAGTTTAGATGAAGAATTTAGAGTGAAGTACTGCCAACTTTGGAAAGCATTAATTGCTTTAGACTCGCATAAAATTCAAGAAATAGGTGAAGAGTTTGGTATTGGGAAGTACGCTAGATATCTTCCCCTCATATTCACAGGAAGAACGATCGACAGGTGATTGGCAGTTGTTTATATATATATATATATATATATATATACATGTTGCTGTTACGGTTAGTATAGTAGTAGTTTTTTGACATTGAATGTTTGTATTTCAGTAAAGCTGGTCTTGGACAAGGAATGTCGGTTGAAGAGAAAGCAAATCTGAAACAGGAAGTGAAGAGGCTTAGTATTGGCGATATATCAGAATTTATGGAGTGTTTACCCCCGGAATTTCTGACAGTGTTGCGTACAGAGTAATTACTTGACAAATTTCGTCATTTCATTTTATGTTGGGCTTAGCCATAATGAACCTGGCATGCGGCATATTTATTTTTGTAATTTTATTTTGGATGCATCGATCAGTGGACTTATCAGGTCTTTAAGTAGCAAGCTAGGTTCTCCTCAACGTGTGCGGCTACTAGTTTATGCACACTATGCATTAGAGGGTCTATCTTCAAAGCCAAATCCTGATTCTGGTAACTTCATTTACAATTAACATCTTTTGGGTTGCTACTTGTTTTTGTGATGATAACAAGAGATTTTTGTGTTGAAATTGATTAAGGTGTATGTACCAGAATGAGGTCTCGAATCGATTGTCTTCAAGTCAGGCTGTTACTTGGTAAATCACATATTTAACTAATTAACACTAGTATATATATATATATATATATATATATATGTATATGTATGTATGTGTATATATATATGTATATATAGCAGTGGAAAGTGAAATTTGTTTTGTTTTTTGTGTTGTTGCTCAGGGTTACTGCAAGGGTTGTGTTGGGTGGAAGATAGGAGACAAGGGCTTGTGACATGGTCAAAGCAAGTTATATCTGCCATCAATACTTACTTACTTGCTCTCTATCTAACTCCAGCTGCCAGCCATCATCACTTGAACTGAAACTTGCATCACATGATCATCTGTATGTAAATTGTAGATATTAGAAATACATTACTATCTTCATTCCATTTGTAATATACATAACAAGGGGTTTAATCATTTGAGAACTCTAAAATTTGTGATATCCATGACCATTTTTACCTTAAGGTGTTGTTTCACATGATTTTTTTTTTCCGTTTTAATGTATCTATTAACATATATTTGTTTCATAACGTGTTTGTTTCACATATATTCAACTTATGATGTGAAACTTTTTTATTTGTTTCACAAACACGTAAAAAGTGTTCATGTTGTGAACCGAATACATGTGAATCAAATATATATTAATCAATATTCTTACTCCTAGTCTAGATGGAAAAGATCATATGAAATAACATATTATGTACAAATTATCAAGATTATTATAATTTCATGGATTCTCAAACAAGTACCCCTACAAAATAAATAGGGGTTGATATTCATACCCCCTGACGTCATTTTCTACACCCCCTGATCTCACAAACTCACTCCCTCACATACTTACCCCCTCTCACATTCAACAATTTTTTTTAAATAATAATTTTAAATTTACACTTTATACCTTTATAATTAGGTAATTAATTTACTTTACGTCCTTTACTTTTAAAATTTTCATTTTACACCTTTATCAAATTAACATACATAATCGTATATTAATTAAAACATGTTTAAAAAATACATTTTTATTTTAACAAGTTACA